TGCCATGCTAATTTAAAAACTGCAAAGCTGAAAGGCAAACAAAGAAGAGGATTAGACCAAACTAGTTCCAGAGCACACATTGTACATACTAATGTCTTGTTGAAACAGGAGAAGGCTGAAAAAATACTGCCCGTGCTTCAATGAGAATGCAAGCTTGTTTTCTGAAACCCTGCCTCCTTTTGCCAATCAGATAGGGGGTATTCTGCATTGCTAAAGGAGCCAAACTAATAAGATTATGGTTTATCACGTCGGAAAATAAAACTGTACCACTGGAAGAATACAATTTATATAGGAATTGTGCTAAACCTCAGTATGATCCCTCGACTCTTCTCCTGAGGTTGTTTAGGGGAAAGCACAGAGCCTTGCAAATGTTGCCACATAGACAACTCTGCATCTCCAAGCAAAAAAAACCTTGAACCGCTTCATGTCCTGAGTCTCATCTCAGCCAAGCAACGACATAAGCAAAGTGAGGCTTGGTGAGAAACAAATGTGCACATTTCAAATGTGGCACATCACAGATCTGCTTGTATTGGCCTTTGTGTACACCATGCCTGCTGCATGACAGCAAACATGCAGTCCTTAGGATTTTCCCCAAATGCTGCCACCTAATCGCACTGCCAGATGTGGGGCAGCAGGAACAGACTGTCTTCAAGCAGAGGAGGAAAAGCCTCTGCGGTAGCTATCTTTAGGCAGAAAACCTCTGCAGTAGGCATCTTGACTGATGCCATGCGCATCTGTAAGACGAGCTGCAGCATCTGCTCGTCTTTCTCCACCTCGGTAGCTCTGCGGCCCCCCCACCCTCCGGGCAGCGACTGCCCTGCCGTGCAGCAGCAGCACCGGGACCCCAAAAGGGGTTAAGGGATAGGAAATGCTTCCCAGCTCTGTGCCAGTTTTTTAAAAGTAGTTTAACAGTTGCGTTTCTTTATCTTTGTTCCCTACGAAATCCCCTGCTAGGCAGAACAGACGGTGCTGCCGGAGAGAGAGAGAGATCTCTGGAAAGAAAGAGTATTCACCCACTGCAGTGGCTGCAAGGTAGTGGAGGGGCTATCTCAGCAGCCCTTAAACTACTAGCTCAGTAGTAGTTCAAGTGTGGGAAGAGCAGTTGTCTGCGAAAGGCGCCTCTGTGGTGGGCTTGGTGGGCGAGGATTTAACCCTCTCCGCTTGGTTTCCCTGTCGGTATGCTAAAGATCTGGCTTATAGGGTCAGGGGATTCAGCAGCGAGCTGAACTTTGCCTTTAGCTCCTTTTGACCCTTTCCTCTCCTGCTTTGCTTTTCGCCAGCGGGAAAATATTTGCAAGAGGGCATTGGGCAAAAGGTGGGTTGCTTTAGCTCTGGCACAGGCCACGTGAACAGCTCGCTGGGGCTGACTACCAGGACCACCAAAGTCCGTGGCACGAGTCCCAGCATCGCTTAGGGCTTTGCTAGGCTTGCTTCTAGCTGGTTATCAGAGAGCAGGCGGGCTGTAGTTTCTGTGCTAGAAATTCCTGACGTTTATGGACTTTTGACTTAGTTATTTTTGGAAAACATTAGCTATGGCTTGGCATCCTGCCTAATCACTCTTCCTGGAGTATCGGTAATTTCGTTCTGTTTGGGGATTTCAGAGGCTTCCCCCTCCTGTGTCCAATTTTTATTTACAGAACCTTGTACCAATCTAAGAGCTAAGGAAGGTGCCAGCTTTCCACTAGAAAGCTAATGGTAATCCCCCCTTCTCGCTTTATCCAAACAAACCTGGTGTGCCACATTCCTCCTGTCTGCTGTTACAGTGGAGAAGCAGTCCCAGGAAAGCCAAAGTGTGATGTGAAAAGAAGCAAGATAGGAGAGGGGAAAAGTTGGCGGTCTTCTGCTTGGGGAAAAGATGGCACTCTGGTTGCAAATACCTGGTGACGTTGGTCCTGCTGCTCCCTTGGGTGGCAATTTGAGTGTAAGTGCTCTAGTGAAGCTCTTGGAAACTCCCTTTGGAGTTCAGGGTTATTTCAAATCAGTTTTGTTTGGGTTTTATTTTTTTTTGGGGGGGGGGGGGGGTTGTTTTTTTTTTTTTTTTTTTTTTTTTTTTTTTTTTTTTTTTTTTTTATCGCTTAGACGTCCTTTCTTGAGGCCGCAGCGTCTGCCTGCATC